TTAAAGCAAAGGAAACTGATCCTCAGGATGATTAAATAACTTTCCAAGGCTACTTTTCAGTGATTGAATGAAATAAGGAAAGAATCTCCAGGGAAAACAGCATGGATTGAGTGGGTTAAGAGGGTGAGCTAGAGAGGTCAGCTTTTCAACGCATTTAACAATCAATTTACAGAGAATGAATTGACAATCCCATGGGGTTCATGTTTGGGGTAGGATGCTGCTGAAGAACCAAGGATGGCACTTTTTAAAGAAAACAGTTATGTGTAAGAGATGAAACATCATCGTGTTATAGAAGAACAATGGTGAGTCAAATGGATGGTTAGCTGTTCACCAGAAACAGTGAGCTCTATGATGTCATTGACATATATTAAAAAGATTTTTGAAGCTTCAATGACAAAATATTTGAAAACATAGGAGATAGGCAAATCAATGCAGAAATATAGCTGGCAAAAGCTGATTTAGGAAGAATTAGGAAATAGATTTTTTCAATAATTATTAAAGGAATCAAAACAATTATTTTAAGACTTTTCTATTTAAAAGAAAAGGAAATCAAAAAGACTCACCAGGATCATTTAAATGCAAGTGCTACTATTTTAAGGAATTTTCAAATTTATACAAATGCTTCCAAAAATAGAAAATGAAGGCATGTGCCGTAATACAGTTTATGAGATAATAATTTTGATAAAAAATTAGAGATGGTATCAGGAAGGAAAATAGTGAGTCAATTGTGTTCATGAAATTAGATGCAAAACTTCTAAACAAATTTTCAAACCAAATCCAATTCCCTGTAAACAATATTAATAAACAATGTCCAATTTAAGTACATAAGAGGATTGTGAGGATTGTTTAATAATGTAGAATATATAACAGTACTGATTAAATGTGATCAATCATATCAACATCTCAAAATATGCAGAAAAAATATTTATATTGAGTCATAATAAAAAGTACTATAACAAGAATGGAAGGGAACTTTTGTAACTTATAAAATGTGTCACTCAGAATAGAAAAAGAAGATCCATACAAAAAATATCACCATAAATAGGGAAATTCTGGAAGTATTAAATTTAAATTCAGGAATGAGATATGAGGTTCTGTATAAATACATCTATTCAGCAATATATTGGGGCTGCAGCCAGAACAATACAAGGATAGAAATAAAAATTATAAGAATTAGAGATGACTGATAGGACCATTGTTATTAGCATATGGCACAGTTTACATAGAAATCCAAATGAATTTGTAAACAAAATGTAGGCAATAGACAAAGTAGGAGTAATGTGTCTGTTTAAAACATGAAGGTATAAAAGTGAAATATGTTCACATATATAAGCAACAAAACCATTAAAATCAATAATTTAAAAATACTAACACAAATTATAAAATAATAAAAAAATTGAATAAAATATATGCAAGAGCTAGATATGAAAAATTAAAAACTTTATTGAAAATCATTAAAGAATATCTAAATAAATTGAAAAATCCTATACTCATAAACAAGTGAATTTAATTTACATTATATAGGTGTTATTTCTCCAAAAATTAATCTATAGGCTTAATATACCTGCACTCAAAATTATGATTGATCTTACTTTTTATTTTATGGAATATGATGTTAACTTTAAAATTCATATAGAGAAGCAAAGAAGGAATAATATCTTGGATTCTACATGGTCTATAAGATTAGACTTACTGTGTAGCTATAGCAATTGTAAGATTGTGATACTTGTGCAGAGATGGGCAAATTCATGAATAAAATAGAATAGACAATCTGAAGAGAAATGTACTTATATATAGCGATTTGACTCATGATGGAGCTTGCATGGTAGGAAGTTGAATTATCCACCAATGAAGAAATGGATTAAAAATTTGTGCACAACATCAAAAAGGAAGGAAGAAAGAGGAAGCAAGAGAGGAAAAGGAAGAAAAAGTGAGCAGAGGGCAGGGGCTAGGAGAATAAAGGGGTCCATACCTCATAATACCACAAATTTTGTAAAAAATATATACATATATAGTATTTTATATAACATATACAATGTAATATGTATTATATAATTTTATGTGATGGCATGAGATAGGGATTATGGTTATTTTTATATTTTTTATATTAATATATGATAATGTACTGTATTTCCTACTTCATACCACCACACAGAATTTCTGTTAAAAGTAAAACTGAAGTTTTAAAAGAGAGTATATATGAATATTTTCTGACCTTTGAGTAAATAGTTTTCTTACACACAAAACAAACTAAAGTGCTAGCTACTTACAAAAGTTGATAAATTTGAATATAACTAAATGTTCATTAAAATGCATATTAATTAAACATAAGAAATCTTGTAACATGTAGCAAATATTTCCAAAAATGGATTACAATGAATAATAAATGAAGAATTTTTACAAATCAACAAGAAGAAAAGATGAGAAAAACAGACAAAAGACATAAGCAGGAATTTCCCAAAAGAGGAAACACAGGGAATGAAGAGAGTATTCATGAAGAGAATGAATATTACAAGTCAGAGAGTATAGGGTCTGCCAGATCTCAACCACATGGCTAATGACCATGTGCATCAGTACAGCATCTCTGGGAAGCAAAAGTTGTAAGTAATTCTATGTGAAAGTAGCCACTGCCCACGACACTAGAAAACTCGGCCAACAATGCAGTTATTTTTTTTAATATTTTATTTATTTATTTTTAGAGAGGGAAGGGAGGGAGAAAGAGAGAGAGAGAGAAACATCAATGTGCGGTTGCTGAGGGTCATGGCCTGCAACCCAGGCACGTACCCTGACTGGGAATTGAACCTGCAACACTTTGGTTCCCAGCCCGCGCTCAATCCACTGAGCTACGCCAGCCAGGGCATATTTTTAAAAATATAAAACAAACCACTCCAAATGTCTATTAGTGTGGATTAAATGTCATGGATTAAAGTTCACTTAATAACTGACATTTAGCAAGAGAAATCAAATAATTTAAACTACTCATGGACAGAACACCTTCCACATGAATAGATTTTAATAAAATACTTAATGAAAAAAGCAAAATGTAATCAATATGTTGTTTATAGCATACACATGATAACCCATAATTTAGAGAGAGCATAGAGGAAAATATGTTTTCAGAAATGTTCTGTCCTTGGAGTACACAATTGGCGATTATATTACACATTATACAGGTGTTTATATTATACATAATATATATCACATAATAGAAGCAAAGCAATTGGTAATGAACTGGAAGAAAATGCTGCAACATATTAACAAAAGTTAAATATTCACAGTATATTACATAAGATATACGTGGAAATTTTATGTTCTAAATATTCACGATTCCTATTACACTGTTGGGTTTCAGTGAATTTTTATATATTTCTATTTTATTTATGCACTATTTGTATTACTTGAACAAGATGTTTTTTCTATTGATTCTTATTTAAGTGAAAATATCATTCATAATATGTAAAGAGTTTGAGAGATAATGCGAGAGAACTAAATGGAAAAGGTGAACTAAATGGATAAATATATATGAATATTTTTTGTAGGTTTAATAGATGAGCAGATGAACTTTACAGAAGGTTACACATCTATTAAACCTACAAAAAATGTACACAACCCTCTAGTAAACAGGGATGTGTGATTTTACAATAGTAGCCACATGCTGTTTTCCACCATTAATGAAGAAATGTCATAAAGTTGTTTATATGCTGCAAGAAATGGGCACTTACATCTTGTACAATGGGAGCCATTTAAATGGTAATATGGTGGTATAGTGGAACCTTTCCTGTTTAGAAGGTTAGTCTTCAAAACATGCACATTTTCATATAACTGTATTGGAAATAATATTAAATACAGTATTTACTTTTTGTAATAGTGAAACAGTAGAGATAGTTTAAAACTAAATAAAGAAAAATGATTTAAATCATAGAATATAAAATGTATGTAACACATTCTCTTACTATAAATCATGACACAACTCTGTATGCTGACACAGAAAGAGGTCTTAGAAACAATTTTTAACAAATAAGTTAACAGGATATATAGCATAATTCCATTCATGTTAAAAATAAGTGTATAAGAAAACTTATGTATACATTAATATTCATATATAAATATATGGGGGAAACCTTGGATAATTGCATACTATATTTTGTATTGTATTGTATTGTATTGCATTGTATTATATTCTATTGTATTTTATTATATTAATTTCCAGTGGTTATCTCTGGTGTAAAGGAGGTAAAGAGTTACATTCCAAACTCTTATGTCCCGTTTCAATTCTCTTACTGCAAGAAAACAAGCATGTATGAGTATATAATGCCTGCATTACTTGCCTTGGTGACTCCCCCAAAGCTGGCTGCATTAACATGCACGCTGCCTGCAGGAACAGCCACAGCAGTGGGCATTGATTACAGCTGACCAGCAGCTAGTCTTGGGTGTGCCTGGATGGCAATCACAGCGGGCCAGGCCAACAGACAGCGGGGCACTTGCCTCCTGTTTGCAGATTGTAAAGCAGAAGGAAACACTGAAACAGTTAGCTACAAAAGCACCCTGTTCAATTTATCTCAGTAATTAGGAGGCAGTCCTCTCAAAGACATATTTAGTGATAAAATAATCACATGTTTATATAATTATTTGAAAGAGAATTTTGATTCATAAAAATTATGAAATGAAATACTCAAGCATATGTGACTTTGGATGAACTGCAGATCACATCTGGAAGACTATCAATAAAATTACTGTAATTTATGAATTTTTCAAGTTGATAAAAGAAAAGTAAAGAATATGTATTATAGAATTGAGTACATATAACTAAAATGTTTAAATTAAGACATGTTAATACCTTTAGGGTTACATTATCGGTCAGAATTTAATATTTTCTCAGTAAAATCATTAAGATTTTACAGTTTTCACAAACTAAAAATACTTTTATGAGATGAAATTCAATGAATATTAAACTAAAAATGTCCTAATTTTAAGATCTCAATCGTGTACTTACTTTCCAGGTTAAACTTTTTCCGTGACGTCACTGACTTCAGAGTGCTCGCCTGCGGGGGAGACGGGACCGTGGGGTGGATTTTGGACTGCATAGGTAATGAGGACACATATTTTACATGGCTGGGGTGAGAGAGGCAACGTTACATTCTGTACATTTTATTTATTAATAAATGCATTGATATGTTTGGATGTTACAGTGACTGACATTACATAACTGACATTCAGCATGTTTGCACACTATTTACTGGTTTCATTTATTCTGTATTTAAAAATTTTAATTTACAGCATGATTTAAAGTATCAGGAATCCTTCTTTTCTTGTGTATTGCTCATGGAATTTACTAACCCCTCAGAGTTCTTTGTAAATCAGGCACCATTTGTTTCTTTGCCTTAGAAAGAGAGCCAAAGAGGATTCTAGAACTTGCTGTCTAGTCTGTCGGATCTATGTGCTTATTTGGTATAAGCATGGAACCTGAGAACTTGACCCTATGGTTACATTCATGTCATCTCTCTCCCTCGATCATTATTATCATAATTATAGCTAATTTTTATTTATCATGGTCTATCTAATAGGCCTTATGCTAAGATTTTTACCCCAATCCTCCTAATTCTCACAACTCTATAATACAGTTTTGATAATCCCATTTTTGAGATAAGGAAATTAAGGCTTGAAGAAGTTATAAATGAACAAAATTTGGTAGCTATGACCTGACAGAACTGGGATGGGAACTCACACTTCAATCTCATTTTACACTGCTTCTCAGTTCACATTTTAAATGCTTGATTTTTATAAGCTAACGAAACAGGTACATGACTGAGGAAAAAAGATAGACACAAATTACAAGAAAAGCTTGGTATAATCAGAAAAAATATGTTTTTTTTTCTAGACAGCTGTTAGAACTGATTACTGCTCAGTAAAATAAATCATAAATTCACCTTTATGGGGAGATAAATGCAATACAAATATTCACTTCTAATTTCTCATTTCAGATACTGAATAACTAGTTAGATTTTTTAAAAAAACAGGCCCTTTCACAAAAAGGGAAGAATTGATTCAAAATAAACTTTACTATCTATACAAATTGAAACAAACTTTCATATAATCAATGCAGGTAGAAATGTTGTCTTTTCATACATGTTGAAATATTGAAATTAAAAATAAATACAAGCTGCTAGTACACGTTAGATAAACATCTAACTTTAATCTACTGACATTGAAAAAAAAGGAAATAGTAAAAACTGTGCTCTCTGGCCTCCCGGTAAAGGATGTAAATAGCATTAGTATGTCCTACTTAAGGAGAAAACCAGAATTCAATAAGTATAAAAATTAAAGAGTTGCTTGTATACTATCCGAGGACTGGTGAGGATATCAGAGTGTAGACATCAGGATATTATTGACTTGTTTTAACCCCCAAAAATGTAAGCCTTGGCTATCAGCTGTGGCCCATCCCTAAATAATTGATTTCCTCTTTATTTTTATACACAAACACTTACTGACTTTGAGCAGCTGAGAGAAAAAATAAACTAATATGTGGTTGTGAGATTCATTCAAGACCTATAATGATTCAGACAGTGGCAGAGAGCTTCGCTGTTCTGAACTCAAAGCACTGTTTCACGTGAAGGTGGGTCTCAAAGAAAACCTTGATCTCATGGCTAAATGGTGTTTATTCCGAAACAAAAGAGCACCTTGGGTGGAAACAACCAATGCAAGGACATTGTTTGCACTTTACTAGCTTTTAGAATTCAGCTGTTTAAAAAATATATTTTATTCCTTAAAGTAAAGTGTATTTAGAGTTGATGTTGCCAAAGGACTTTATATAGAAACCTAATCCACCACTTTGGTTGTGCTCTTGTACGCATATTCCTATGTTATGTATACCTATATCCAGAGAATTGTTTTAAGGATTGAAATCTTGTATTAAATTTGTCAGTTATGGCTGACATTAAGTATTATTATTTTATATTAGTTTTAGGTGTACAGCATAGTGGTTAGACATTTATATAATTTGTGAAGTGATCACCCCGATAGGTCTAGTATCCGCCTCTCACCATATGTAGCAACTACAATATTGACTATACTTCCTGTGCTGTATTTTACACCCCTGTGACTATTTTGTAACTGCCAATCTGTACTTCTTAATCCTTTAAACTTTTTCAGCCAGCTCCCCAAAGCCCCCCCACCCCTGACAGCTCTTAGTTTGTTCTCTGTATCTATGAGTCTTCTTCTGTTTTTTTCATTCATTTTGTTCATTAGGTTCCACATATAAGTGAAATCATGTGGTATTTGCTTTTTTCTGTCTGACTTATTTCAGTGGAGTTAAATCCAGCTTAAACCACAATTTTTAAATGGGCTAGCATAGTTACAAACAAGGCTTTCCTCACACATGAGACTTGAATGTTCCTGTGACTTTGTCCATAATGTTATTTGTTTGCATTTTATAAATTGCTACAGATGCATGGAGATTAATCATAATTTATAATTGTGTATACCTATAAAACATAACTTTTTTCTTTATAAGTGTCTAGTAGAATGCTTTCATTTCATGCCAAACTATTTTTTTTACCATTGTTCTATCTATGATCAAAATTTTATTTTGTTTTACTTTTCAATTTCACAGAAAAGGCTAATGTAGTCAAGCACCCTCCAGTTGCCATTCTGCCTCTTGGGACCGGTAATGATCTAGCAAGATGCCTGCGATGGGGAGGAGGTAAAACAGCTTTAACAACAATGAAAATCTTAGTAAAATATAAACAGTACAGAACACACCCCCTCCATGAATCCAGCATTTATTTACAACTACCATGTGATTTTACCAAATGTAATTGCTGTCAGATATACAGTATATGATTTTGAACAACAATCTGGGTTAGAGAAAGAAATGGTGGACCAAGAGTTAGACAGTGAGTGCTGGGCTTTAAAGCGATACTAACTGTAGATGTCCCGGGGCAGGCAGGCCTCCAGGTCTCTCTGATAATGGGGCTTCTCACATGAGAGGTGAGATCGGCATGGATTAACTCTAAAAGTAACATTCAGATTTTTAATTTCTGAGTTGTGTGTTACAACAACAATCTAAGGAACAATGTAAAGGCTAATGAATGACTTGTCCAGGAATGAACACATGTTTTCAAACCCATTTTACACCAGGCATTGTGGTCTGCCCTTGGGATACAGAGTTGAGAATCTAAAATAAAGACTGTTTTCAAAATGGTCTTAAATTCTAGTGGCACTTTGAATCATGTATAAATCATGAGACTTCCTTCTAAGAAGTACACAGATAACCAGCATAACGAAAGGCCTCATCATTGCAGTGACAAGATGATGCAGTGAGAATTGTAGTGAAGGGATGACAGAACCATGTAGACCTAGGAGTGGACTTTATTGTGAAAGGAAACATCAAGTTCACAGAACTGGAGAGAGGTAGCCACTTGACGTATTCAAGGATATCAAAGTGAAATAGTGTGTATGGAGTAGTGTAAGGGGAGAACATTTCAAGATGAGGTCTTAAAGTATTTTGAAGCATCATTAATAGGCTGTACCTAACTGAAGGAACCAAAGTAAACTAGATTTTGCTAAAGCCGGAAGAATTGGATCATAAATATTTTTAGCAGCTAACCTCACCTAGAGATGTTTGAAAAGTGTCTACTAAGACACTGTGAATCAGAAGCCCCTGGGGATCTTGTTAAAAATATAGTGACCTGTCCTCACCTCCAATATGCTGAATAGAAATTTCTGGGGTCGAGACCTGGGCAGGTGATTTTCTTTTTGAACAAACTCAGTAACTGATTTATAATACACTTTGAGAATCATTACATGAGTGTCTGGCCAGACGGGGAAATCTAAGTTGTGAATATGTATATTTATACATGACAGACAGACAGAGTTGGGGACTAAAGTAAATGCTTTGCTTATGATTTATTTGTCACTTTCATTATGGATATAATTTAGTAAAATAATATTATAAAATATTAAAGTAAATCTCATAGAACCTAAAGATAAATAGATGACAGATAGCTAGAATGAACCATTGCTTATGAGGTGATTGTATTCTGCCAGTGCTTACATATGTATATTGATTAAAAGGAAACAAAGCATGCATATGGCTTCTGGTCATATTTTTCTGCAAAACATTTTTTATATTTAAAAAATATTAATTTCACTTTTGGTTCCAAACTAATAAATGGCTTAAGTCTCAAAATTGATATATAAGTTCCATTTTTATATGTAAGTGTTTTTCTTATAAAACTCTTTTAAAGATATTATCAGTGGAGGAGTGGTGGCAGGTAAATGCAGACAATTGTACTTGAACAACAATAAAATAAAATTATAAAAATATATTATCAGTGGCCAAAGACTCATGAACTGTAGTATATGTCAAAGTGTGGTTTAAAGATGATCTTTCTGTGGTTTCCTAGCATGTGTGTATTGGCACTGCTCTAGGTGCTAGATACAGAGTGAGAAGATAAAGAAGTGGCTCCTACCCTTTGAGCACACAGGCATAAATCAATGAACAATGAAATGTATAGTTACAAAATAAGGTCAAGGCTAGGACAGAACCAAACAGAGTGTATTTTTAGAGAAAAAACACGCGGGAAACTTTTTTGCTGGTTGTCTGGAAGGCCTCTCTGATGAAGTAACATTTCAGCTGGATTGAACACAGAATGAGGGAGAAACAGCTTCGCATTGAAAGGTCCAAATGAAAGCTGATGGGACCCTCAAGGCTGTCATGGAGGGGTTGATAGGTATGGACTGAAAGGCGTGATTAGTATGAGACCAAGGAGATAATCACGAGGCAGATAATGCAGGGGCTTGGTAGTTATGATAAGGATTTTATCCGATTGAATCTGAAGCACAAAGCAAAACTTTGAAAGGGTAGCAAAAGCAGTGTGATGCAATCATATTTGTTTTCAAACGTAGATTAATTAGAGGATGTAAAATTAACTGCTAAGAAAATGTGGAGAATTATGGTTTTCCAAATGAAAAATGTATAGTTATCAGAATTAAAGAATATAAAGACTGGACTGGGGTGGTGGTAATGCAGAAGGGACAAGTAGACAAACCCCAATCACATTTTCAGGATGGATTGATAGAACTTGCTAGTGGGTTAAACAGGAGCTCCAGGGAAAATGAGGTAGTAAAAAGGGCTGAAAGTTGCCAAATTGAGCAAATAGGGAAATGGAAATGCTGTTGGCTAGAGTTTACTAATTAAAAAAAAAACATGCATGAAAGAAAGATTTTTTCTTGCCAGAGGTGTAATAGAGCAAGTTGCTTAACAATTGTGCTTCAGATTTCTCATCAGAATTTGAAGGAAATAACAGTACCTGGTTCCCAGGTTCTTACACTACACTATTTAATTTGACCTGTGTCTGTACTTATTATTTGATGTAGTTATTATTAGGCTTAACATTTAGAAGAGAAAGGTACATTATTCATCCAATAAACATTTGATTCTCTTAGGGTCAATGGAATATATTGACTTGAAACTTTTTTACAAGAATATATTTAACATTTTTGGAAATGTAATACTTGTAAGAACATAGGACGTTCTATGGCATTTGAAAAAATATGCAATTTACTTTCCCTTTGCAATTTTTATGGCAATAATTAGTCCAATAAAAATTTGAATATTATTGCAAACATCATTTTGTAAAGAGTAAGGGGGCAAGAGAGAGTTTTAGATGGATCACACTTACAAATACTTGTTTTTGCTTTTCTGTACATGATTTTTATTTGGAAAAATTTCTCTGACTTTTGAGATAGATTCAGGCATTATTATAACATATTATTAAGTAGAAAATAAATATTAATTATGATTTCATTTTATTTCTTAGCCTAGAGTGATTATAGGCTTTAAATAAAAAATAAGAGAAGCAAAATAACATTATTCTTTTCTGGAAATAAGTGTTCATTTGCATAGTTAGTGAGTTTGTCTTTTTTTTTAAATATGCTCTTTTTGAGTTCAGGAGTCCTATTTTTAGTTATGGATCATTATTTAACAAGCTCAGGCATAGATTAATATAAAAAAGTAGGGTGTAGATATATGTTAAATTGGGGACTACAGTTTGAAATTGCTCACCCTTGTGAATTACTTCGGAAGTATAGATCTATTTCTCAAAATAGGTTTATTTACTGCCTATCTTTTAACATTTTTACTTACCTACAAGGCTGAATTCATGCTAGCATTTTTCATATATAGCCTTAAACACATTGAGAACTAATATAGCCTTAAACACATTGAGAACTCAACTTAAGGATTTTAAGTTGAGTGACCCTAGTAGAATCTAGCTTTGGTAATTAATTTTCACTCAATCCATTTCTAATATAGTCCCTACTGGTCAGTTACGGTTCACACATTTTTCTGATGTTGTGTTGAACCTTGTTGTAATTAACCTGAAATGCGCCCAAAGACAAAATCAATATTTGATTTAAATCATTATTATTTACTCATATTTCTGCTGTGTTTGTGTACATGTGTATATATATTTATAGTGTATATTGTACTGTACTTTTATAGTGTATTATACTGTACTATGTTTATATATATAAAAAATTATATCTGAAAACTATCATACATATTTTCAAAAAAGTAGAGTTTAGGAAATAGATGAATATATTTAACTGGTTATTATTTAATTCAATAGGAAATACATATGTATATACATAATTTATTTGGAAGGCTATTATTTGTTCTGTTTAAAAATAAAAGAATAAGAGAATAAATGTTGAACTATTAAGAAACATCTGAGAGACTTCCAAACAAGATGGAAGCACAGGTAGATATGCTTTGCTTCATCACACAACCAAAAGGAAGACAACCAATATAAAAACAAGAAACAAACAGAACTGCCAGAAAATAAAACTGTATAGAAGTCTGACAACCAAGGAGTTAAAGAAGAAACATGTGTCCATCCTGGTTGGAGGGATGGAGACAGGACCCAGGTCAGCGAGGATGCATGGCAAGGCAGTGGCTAGAGGACTAGTTGGTCCCACATTCATGTGCAGATAAACTGGGAGGAGCAACTGGGGAGTGAGACTAACCCAGCAACTCAGGGTTCCAGGATGGGGAAGTAAAGCCTCAAAACCTCTGTCTGTAAAAACCTGTGGGGGTGGCCTTAGCAGGAGATACTCCCAGTCTCACAGGAGAGTTCATTGAAGGGACCCATGCATTCCTAGAAAATACCCAAACCCATCCAACTAGGAATCAGCCCATATCACTTGTGGGTAGCAAAGGAAGCGACTGAGAGCAGGGTGAGAGCTGAGCAAATGACACTGTTCCTTCTCTGACCCCTCCCCCACATATAGTGCCACAACAAAGGAAAGAGGGTTGAGCCAAGACAAATAAATATGGCCCAAATGAAAGAACAGATGAAAACTCCAGGAAAAAAACTAAGCACAAGGAGATAGCCAACCTATCAGATGCAGAGTTCAAAACACTGGTAGTCATGAAGCTCACAGGAGTGATCGAGTACAAGTGCAAAATAAAGGAAGAAGTGATAGCTATGCAAAGTGAAATAAGGAAAAATATACAGAGAACCAACAGTGAAAGGAAGGAAACCGGGACTCAAATCAGTGATTTGCTCAGAATGAAGAAATAAATATTCAACTGGAATACAATGAAGAAACAAGAATTCAAAAAAATGAAGAGAGGCTTAGGAACCTCTGGAACAACTTTGAATGTTCCAACATGTGAGTTATAGGGGTTCCAGAAGGAGAAGAGGAAGAGCAAGAAATTGAAAACTTTTGAAAAAATAAAGAAGGAAAACTTCCCCAATCTGGCGAAGCAACTAGACATGCAAGTTTGAGCATCTCAGAGGGTCCCAAAGAAGTTGGATCCAAGGATGAACACACCAAAACACATCATAATTAAAATGCCAAAGATGAAAGACAAGGAGAGAATCCTAAAGCAGCAAGAGAAAAGGAGACAGCTGGTTACAAAGGAGTTTTCATAAGACTGTCAGCTGATTTCTCAATAGAAACACTGCAGGCAAGAAGGGGCTGGAAAAAAGTACTTAAAGTCATGAAAGACAAGGACTTACAACCTAGATTACTCTATCTAGCAAAGCTACCATTTAGAATGGAAGGGCAAATAAATTATTTCACAGATAAGTTAAAGTAGTTCATCATCACCAAGTCCTTATTATATGAAATGTTAAAGGCTCTTATCTAAGAAAAAGAAGATCCAAACTGTGAACACTAAAATGACAATGACTTACAACTATCAACAACTGAACCGAAAAAACAAAAACAAACTAAGCAAACAACTAGAACAGGAACAGGATCACAGAAATGGATATCACATGGAGGGTTATCAGTGGGGAAGGTACAGGGAGTAAGAAGCATAATTAGTAGGTACAAAATTGACAAGGGAGGCTAAGAATAATATAGGAAATGGAGAAGCCAAAGAATGTACATGTATGATCCATGGACATGAACTAAGGTGGAGATAATGCTGGAGGAAAAGTGGTACAGGGTGGAGGGGCAATAAAGGGGAGAAAAAATGGGACAACTATAATAGCATAATCAATAAAATGTACTTAAAAAAGAAACATCCGAAATATAAGTAACTTTAGTTATCATTGTCTCATGGTTTAAACAGTTCAATGTTTTTCCATTGACTACAATTATATTCATATTATTATGTGGGTTCATAGTTTTTGAATTATGCTATAAATAATCTGATTTATTCATCATTAGAGAATTTTGGCGTATTACATTGCTTGTTATGTTTTCTTTTAACACAGTTAGTTTTCCCAATGTTATAAGTGCTAGCACATCTAATGAGGAGTCATACGTAGCCTCTGGCATTTACTTGCTCAGCAAAAAATTATTAAAATGAAAAGCAAAGTTTGACACAGAAAAAAATTGATGAAAATATTGTTCCAACTCAAAACATAATCTCAAGAATTTCTATCTGTATGTGAAGAATTATAGAAATGTTATTTAACTTAGTACAATATTTGAAATTCTGATATTAGCATCATTAGTATTCTTATATTGTTGAGACCCTTCTATTCTTATACCTCATGTACTAAGACATTTTATGTACTTTCTTACTTTTTTCTCACTTAATTCTCACAGCAAACCTAAGTTTTAAAGAGAACTATTGCAGGGCATTAAAAGCACGTGATTAAGAAAGTAGCACTTCCAGGATTAGGCTAAAGTTTAAGCTATAATTTTGTATACCTATAGATACTTTCAATAGAAGATACAGGATTTGAAAAATATCTTTTCAGGCCATGTTGACTATCTGTAGTACATTCATTAAAAAGTGGATTTACTGAGCATTTACTGTGGGGCACACCTGGTAAAAAATTTTTGTAGTCAGAAAGATGCAAATAACTATACAGTGTCCTCAGGTAGGGCTGGTGTTGAAAACTTTGGTGACACTGCACAGAATCCATTATTTTGAGAGAATGTCTTCCTGAATTAAGTGCTATGAAGAATCAAATCGCAGAGGGAATTGAAGCAAGCCAGCCGAAAGAAAGGGGCTATCCTGGGTATGTAGAATAAGAGACAATGTGGCACAAATGTGGCACCAAGTTTAAAAGAGAAGGACTTGCTATTTAAATTGAAAGTAGTTGCGTCTAACTAGGAGGAAAGGGTGAGGATGAGGTAGCTACGGAAAGACACTAATCTAGAATGCTTCCAGGTTACTTACCTCAGCACCTGGGTGGAGGCTGTTGTTTTTCTGAGACAGAGTTCACAGGAAAAAGGTATGGAAGGAGATAGTTAATTTTATTTTGAATATGTTGATATTAACGTTTTCTGGGGGTATTCAGTGGAGATGTTCACTTGGCAGTTGGCTGCACTGAAAAGTTGCACCACAGGAGAGAAATATGAGCTGCAAATTAGAGCTAAAAATAAAATACCGGTCTCAGTAAAATAAGATTACAATTGATTTTACTTATATTAGAATTGCTTTAAAAATGCATTACTTAACTGAAGAATGATACATACTCAAATGGAAGATCAAACACATAAATACAGCCTGTGAATTTTTTCTCAAGATAATGTTGTTTTTTTTTAATTAGGTTATGAAGGTGAAAATCTGATGAAAATCCTAAAAGACATTGAAAACAGCACTGAAATCATGTTGGACAGGTGGATGTTTGAAGTCATCCCCAACGATAAAGATGAGAAGGGAGACCCAGTGCCTTACAGCATCATCAATAATTACTTTTCCATTGGCGTGGTAAGATTTTCCACTAAATGTTCTTTTTTTAACCAGTCCTGGATAATCACTGTCTGTACACTATAAGATTGACCAATTATAAATAATTTATTTTATGCTAGTGTCAGCAAAACCCCTCCTCTAATGGGCAATAATAAAGCTTATGACTTTATTTAAAGTTAGAGTACAGCAATAAAGTTTCATGTGTTAAAGAAAACTATAATTTTTACAATTGGTTTGATCATATGTGTTACTAAAATGTAGAATAGAATTATTTATAATAAGGGTTTAGTTACAAGTGTTAGAGTAGAAGCTAAAGTCCTACATTAGTGAAAATGTGAAAACAGTGCATGAAATTTCACCTTAATTTCAGATATATATAATAGTAGCATCATAACCTACTAGAGACATTATGTTTAAATTTATGGTTAAGTCCAAGTTTAAAAAATATGTTGCTATTGTTCCCAAGTGTTTAGTAAGTTAAAAGGCTAACTTAAAAGATTTCTTAAAAATCTTACACTGGAAGTAAAATTTCATTTGGCTATTTAAATTTTAATCTTGAAGGAATGTAAAAGTGATTATATATACATATATATGTATACATATGTATGTGTATATGTGTATATATATGCATATGTGTATATGCTTTTATATGTATGGAACAATTATAAAGTCTAAAATTTATATTGCTTATAGCATTCCATTCCATTTAATATGCCAGCCACTCAGTACTACCTTATGTCATATGCAGGCACATGCATGCACACACACACACACCACTAGGAGACTGGAAAAAGCATTGGCTGAGTTTCTGAACATAGGATTGAAGCTACTTAGGTAGGAGTACTTTAGCAAATATTTTTATTCTGGCTGCCCATCATTTATCTGTATCACAATGCTTATTATTTTCTTTCTCATAGTTATAAATAATGCGATTATACATTTTAAAAGCCTCTAATAAGGATTAATACAGGCTAAATATACAATCATTACTAATGCTGTAAAGATTCTTACTATTTGTGAGAATGTAATGCACTTGATCCATAAAAGTCCTACTATTTATACTTGATATCAATATAAAAATATATTAACAGCATTATTGGCATATAATTTAGAACCTAATTCATTCATTTTAAGTAAACCTTTTATTTTTAATAAATCTATCCAATTTAGAGCATTTTTATCATTAAAACAAGAATTTTTATGCTTATTTATAGTAAATTCTGGTTCCTTTTCCCAGCTCGAAGTAATAACCGTTCTTTCTTCCTCTAAGATTTGCCTTATATGGATATTTTATACAGAAAAATATATAGTGTATTGACTTTGACATATGGAATCTTTCGCTTTATATTTCTGAGGTTTGCCAATATGAATTCCTTTTTATTGCTGAGCACTATCCCATTGAATAGATATGTCACATATGGTTTATCCACTTACCAGTTGATGAGTATTTAAAATGTTTCCACTCTGGATATTATGAATAATGCCACTATTTGAGTCCTTTCAGTGAATGCTTTGTTTGGGTTATTATACTTTTTTAAGTCCAGCATTTTCTTTTGACTTTTTAAATAATGTCTCTATCTTTAGGGTATATTTTCTATTTGAGGAGTCATTGTTATGCTTTCCTTTATTTTTAAACTTGGGTTACTTTAGTTCTTTTGGTCTTTGTCTGGCAAGTCCAGTACCTGGAGACCATCAGAGATTTGGTAGCATCTGCAATCCTTCAGTGACATTGTTTGTTCTTTCCAAAGGTCATGCCACACTTCGCTGTTCCTCTGCATGTCTGACAATTATTTTTGGAAACTAGAGGTTTTATGTTCTATGAGGTATCATGCAACTCTGGATTGGGATCCTCCCATTGAGGCTGTAGTTGTTCCTGTGTTTGTATTGTGTCTTGCTTGCACTACTCACCTAGAACCTTTTCTTCCTTGTGATGTATGGATGTAGATGCCTCATTTGTGTGTGTTCTGTTGTTGTTTAATTTTTGTTTTTATGTTAATCCTGGCTTCCTAGGGATCAGCCCTGTTTATGCATGATTGACCAGGTGTCTGCAAACCTAGAGCCAGTAAGTCTTTGTCACTTGGCCCTTGGATCTGTGTGGTCATTGGGAAGCACATACAATCTTCAGACAGTTATTGACCCGATTCAGTTTCTAACATCTGCGGGCCCTTCTTTCGTCTCTTCTGTTCATTTGCAAGTCCTCTTATTTAGTCAAAGATATGTAAATAACAAGGGCCCTCTTTCATCTTTCCTGAACATTTATGCTGCTATACATGCATATGGTCTTTTATATAACCAAGGATATGAGGAAATTTATCAAAGCCTGTTACGGCTGTCTCATTCTAAGATCTCCTACTAAATTTCTGGCTAGTTGGCTGGTTAATTGCTTGCACTAATCAGTTTTGTAAACACAGGTGAGCTCTGACATTAATCTTCCTTGTTCATTTTCTGCAGGGATCATTACTGTTTTAGATCACTCTCTGGGTCATATGGAATGTTTTTTGCTCCCCCTCTAAATCAAGTCAATTTCACTGAGTAATTTATTATATGACTTCAGTTAATTTCCAAATTTCTGTTATGATCCTCAAAATCAGATTAAGTTCTCCCTCGCCACAAGAGGTATTTGGCAATATGTAGAAGTCACACATTTGATTATCATACAAAGAGGGGATCACTACTGGCAATTAATGAGTAGAGGGTAGGGAGCTACTAAATAATTCTTGTTCATGGAATAAGCCCCCAGCACATGAGAAAGAATTATACAGCTCAAGATGTCAATAGTGCTGAGGCTGGGAATCCCTGACATCAATGGACAGATATTAAATGGAAAAGTCAACATACTGAAAAAGAGAAACAGCAAAACCCCAAAGAAATGTGAAGAAAAGCTATAATAAAAATAAAACAGGAAATACAGGAAAGAATAGCAACAAAATTGAGAATGGCAGTGACACCAAAAACTGGCTTACTGAAAAGAGTTAATCCGATGTTTTACAAAATTAATTTTATAAAAATATTGCACAGAGAATTGCAAATAAATGATAAACAGTGAAAAACAAAAACCCCATAAACATAAAAAAGTAATATCTTAACTAAAAACATATGAGGACTAAATGTGGAAGTGTAGCAAAGCTGAGAAATATAAAATGAACTTAGATATTCAATACTACTCAATCATATCAATAATAAGAAATTTATTTAAAAAACAAAAATTAAAAGTATATAGGAAAAATAAAACAATGTACAAGACCTACATATAGGAAATGTTAAAATTTTCTACAGAGACATAAAATATTAGAATAGATGGAGACATTTTCTAATTTTAAGTGGGATAGTTTACTACAATATGCAAATTAATTTATACACTTAATCTATAATTAATCAAGATTAGAGATGACTTTTGTGACAAACTGGAAAAACCTACTCCAAAAAATATATACTAAAATAGATCAGTTGATTTTATGAAAGGAAAAGAAGGAAAATCATTTTACCAAATTAGAATGCTACCAGTGGAGAAGGAGGGAGACACATATTGAAAGGACCCATGGACAAAGGCAATGGAGGTGGGAGGATCAAAAGTGGGAGATGGGGGTGGGTAGGGCAGGGGAGAGTAATGGTGGGAAAATGAGACAAATGTGATTGAATAATAAAAAAAAAAAGAAAGAAACTCAGTATAGGAGTAACCTGGGAAGTAGGGGTATTAAGAGAGAAGAGCATATATCTCTGAAATTGTCACCTGTGTCTCAGCCACAAAGGTTCAACACTAAAGGGCACAATCAGAGTGACAGATTTGACAGAAATTCCAAGCTTTGTCTGTCACTCAGCAAGGCTATCTTCAAATCAGCGACTTATCTTTCTTTGCCATGCTCAGTGAATCCAAAAAACAATGAAATAAAATGAATCATCTCTATCAAAATATTTCTGGATATATAAGAAGTAGTGGAGTTGGGGCACTGAAAGAACGAGAACATTTCAACTTTTTGCTGTCAGCAGCATGAGAAAGCTTAACATGGCACATAGATTGCACCCGAAGTGATCTCTAGGAACCCATTACCACCTTCTTAAAATATATTCTCAAAGTTTGATGCTATCAGTAGAGTTTTTATTATTTCAACTATTGCCCTTCCCATATTTGTGGCCCCACCCTCCTCTAGATACATAGAAGCCCCTCTATTCACAATCAGGTGACAAAAAGAGAGTGGAATATTAGGGTGTGTTTTTTTTAAATAAGTGAACATATAGGCTATTGGTCATATCTTAATCAATTGGCTGGGAAAGGAATTCTATCTTCCCAGGAAGGAAAGAAAAATTGGTAAATAACTAGCAAGTTTTTGATAACTCCTTCTTTATAATACTTTTTTTTTCAATTTTAGTCACAAGTAGAAATGATCCTGGAATCACAATTAACTCTGCAAATAGATTCTCTTATCCAGTGGCAGTCCTTCAGTAAAAGTGTATTTACTGAGCAGCTGCCGTGTACGGCACACAGTGTTTGAGGCCCGTGAGGGAACAGTGTAGGAGAAGCCTGTGTGGTCACTCAGTCTGCATTATAGTGAGGTGAGAGAATTGTCAAAAGTGCCTGAACAGCAGGACCTTAGAAATTAATTTTATAGACTGCTGTGTGTTGCCTTTCATTCTGATTTTGAACTTTAAAATAGCTATAATCTCAAAAATCCCAGGAAGAAAACTGTCTAGCCACTGCATCACCATCACATATACCACTACATTTTTCTTAATATTTGATTGATTCGGACCCCGGCTCGTGGGGTCTGCCACATTGTGGCTGAGATATGAGAAGTTCACACAAGACTACTGAGTCCTGTGGAGGAAAAGGGACAGCATGGCTTTACTCTCAAGAGGAGAAAAAGCCTTGGCCCTTGCTTCGATGAGGTTTTATTGTCTTTCTGGACACATTGTATGGTCCTCATTTAGTATGCACAGGTTTGCTTTAGGTGGTTACCTTTTACAGAAAACAAAGCACAGGATGCTGCTAATCACATCACAGAAGAAGGATATCTGCAAAT